TTCAAGCTTTCACAAGCCTCAACATTATGCACATTAGATAAAAATTAAAACAAAGTTTATTAAATTTCACAAATTCAAAGTGCATGTAAACAGGCAATTTACTGAACTGATTGCACTTACATAAGTAATAATATTTTTAAAAATAAGGACAATTTGTAATAATTTTGAATACCAACAATGGGACTTTAGAATTTATTTTCCTTTCCTTAAAACTGGTTTTACTGTTGTGAAGTGTTCTAGCATGTTCTTTTAAAAAACTATGTAATTCATTTAATGTTCCTTGTTGGTTGCCCTTTAATTGTCTCCCATAGCAAATACATGTATTTATATATATATATATATATTTTTTTTTTTTTTTTTTTTTGCAAGTAAAAGAGTTGCTAGTGCATCGCCAATCCCTACTTGATGTTGTAGTATGCTTAGAGAATGAATGCATCCATAAATGACATCAACTAGTTTCAAAATAGTGTCTGCTGAATCAGCAACCTTTGGCTGTGTAACAAGTTTCTTAATGGATTCACTAGTCTTCATTTATTTGAAAATCTATCTTCAAGGAAATCCCAAGAAATTTTGTAATTTAAATCTAAAATGTGTATAGCTTGAATTACTTAAGGCATGTCTCCCGCTTTCCTAATGTGCCTTCGTGATGTAGTGGTTCTGCACGCTAGCCTGGTATTCCAGAGGTCCGTGTTCAATTCACGGCAAAGTGGTGGCTCATTTTTCATCTTGCCTGCTTCCACAAATCCTAATATCTCTATAGTGGCACCCGAATTAAAAGGGTGTTGAATGAGGATTCTCCACACCCAGGATTTGGCGATTGGCTCCCCTAAAAACCCCAGTCGTCCTTTAAAAAGAGGAGTATATAAGGTATATCTCCCGCTTTCCCAGTGTGCCTTCATGGTGTAGTGGTTCTGCACGCTGGGCCGGTATTCCAAAGGTCCATGTGATTCGATTTCCGGCGAGGGCGATGGCTCATTTTTCATCTCACGTACTTCCAAAAATCCTAATGTCTCTACATGTTTTCATTCCATATTCAAGTAGAGATCTTCAATTGTATTTTGAACTGTTTGATATTCTTCAATGTAGCTATCAATTTCCCTTTCCTTACATGTTACATAAATATTATCAAAAATGCATGAAACATCTGCACTTAAATTATTCAGTTTCGTTTTAAAAGTCAGATTTTTGCTCCATCTGCATTAGTAATATCAGAATTTATTTTATCTTTCAGTTTAGTTAAATTTCCTTTAGCAACTGGATTCTTTGTTATTAGTGATTTCATATCCATTTTGATAAAGGTAAAGATTTTTTATTTTTTAATTATTTATTTATTTGTCAAATGTCAATTACATTGGCCGTTAGGCCATTAAACTCCTTGCCTGCCAATAGCGCTGAAAACTACAAGAAAAATTTGTCAGTGCTTCACACTCGTCCAAATGTTCCGGCGTCCACTATTACATAAAACACACAATGACGAATCAGCTAGTCCAATGCAAAATAAATGATTCTGTAGACAGTCATGTCCCATCAATAGTCTAAAAGATGCAACCACAACTGTTCGCGGGTGGTCAGGAACAAAAGCTGGGTTTGATGAGAGAACACTCCAAGGCTTGCCCTTACAAGCACGAGTGGCAAAGTCTCTAAAAGTCTTTTAATATGTTAGTAGCTTAATAGAATGGAGGCGTGCACTTGTTTTTGGCTTTTGGAGAACCGTAGCCCCCTTTTTCATAAGCATATCAGCCAGGGGTGTAGTGTGGGAGGCCTGCTCGTGGTACACCCTGGGTTACGCTAAATCTCCTACAGCTTTGCCACTTGTTGATGGCTCCTAGAGAAAAAGGTAAAGATGACTTATCCTTAACTGAAACAGCAGATGCATGCTCTCAGATGTGTCAGCAGCAGTCAATTGAATCAAAGTTAGTTTTATTAGTATGAAGAACACATATTATCCATCAGGTGATGGCAAATAAACAGGGTTTGTAGTGGACCTTACAAGTGCTTATAAGTCCTTATATTTGAAAATAAAATATAAAGGCCCTTATAAGCGCTTACTTTTTCTTTAAACCCTTTTTTTTTTTTTTTTTTTTTTTTATGAACGTGCATTTTTTTCCGTACCAAAGCCGAAACTAAATAAACAACTTTTCTTCCGTATATGCAACGTCAGATGGTTAATCATACTCCCGGAAATTGCTTTTCCCCCCTTTCTCTGCATTAACGTAACCTATGGTGTGCGAGAGAGTACAGACAGGTGCACGCCGTTCTATTGGTCAAAGAATTGCGAAAACGGTAGAAAATTCCGGTACATTCTGTATTCTTTTCCTCCCACCCAAATACTACACATGTTTGAATTTCTATCAAGATTTTAATAATTTACATTCTCGTTCCGCGTGGTAAGTTCATAATCGTGTTTATTATGATCGCTATGCTTATATTATGAGCATATGCATAAATATTTATAATAATATAGTTGCAGTAACTGGTGAAGTATAGATAAACTTCCAAAAAATGGATGTGTTTGTACACAGATTAGCTTTCTAAGGAATAATATTCAGAATGGCCTAAATAAAAGGAAAGTAATCGAATAGTAAAAAAAAAAAAAAAAAAAAAAAATGTTTTTTTTTTGGGGGGGGCAATACATTATACGGTACGGAGGTTGGGAGGTTCTCCCCTTTCTCCGCAAAATCTCTAATATTGAAGCAGTGGACTTTTTTTTTTTTTTTTTTTTTTTTTTTTTTTGTCACTGTCCAATCTGGATTGAATAGGACTAAAAGTTTTTGCAGTCTACCCAACCTAAGCGAAGATTGATTCTCTTCCGGAAATTTAACGCAGTCTGTTGAAAATTAGAATCAGAAACATCCCAGATTAGTAAGTCTCTTTCTTTTCCTTTATTTAGTTCTTTATTCTCTGAATACCAGCAGCTGTTGATTCCGATTGCATAATATCACATGTGGAAGAATTACGCCACACGTTTTGCACAATAATGTTTGCGGTATTTTGCAGAGATAATTAATTTTGATCTTCAGTCTGAGATTTATTTATGAACACTTAAAAGAGTTTTACTGTGCACTCTAAGCAGAATATTTCTCAGTTCCGTTGGTCTATTTTTATATGATGCACATATCGAAATATCAAAATCATTTATTTAGCCGAGAAATCTAAAGAACGGTTACAATCTCCACCACTCCTCTTTTTCCAGTTACTATAAGGAATATTCGGCAATTTCTGAGTATGTGGGTTAGTTAAGCTTTTACTGTTAAAGGATGACTGCAGGAAGCAATTTCCCATCTTCTGATTTCAGAAATGTGCCTCTTTTTTACTTGTCTTTTTACTTCTCTTGCTTGGAATATATGTTAAGGGAAAACTGTTATGCAATGAAAATTTAGAAAATGTTCAGAATTTTGATTTAAGTTAAATTATTTAAATATTAATATGAGTGCAAAAATAAATTGTATTTATTATTAGGTGCCAAACAAATACAATTAAATATGGCTTATTATTATTTTCTATATTTTGAACTGAAATTTTATCATTAAATCTTGTAATATAGTTTAGTTCGGTACTATTCGGTTTCGAGGGCCGTAAAAAATCGCCAAATTATCATTGATTTGAATGCTGCCAAAAAGAATTGCGGCAAGAAAGGAAGTATAATAGTAAATAACTATCTAAGATTGATGTTTTAATTTAGATGAAAGTTTAATTTCATATAATACTTTTTTATTATTATAATTTATATGAAAAAGGCTAAACATGACTGAATGGAAGCATAAGAGTAAACAACTATTTCAGATCATTATTATAATTTATATAAAAATTGCTAAACATAACTGATTGAATTCCTGCATCGCTATTTCGCTACCGACTTATCGCTAAAGCATAAGTTCATCTCGTAGTTTTTTTTTTTTCCCTCATTGTAAACTAATTCTGTAAATTGAACTGTCATTTAAAATTTAAAAGAAAAAAGTTAATTGTTTTCCATGGTTGAGGTAATGCTCATTCTCTTAATAAATATTGCATTGCTCATATTTTAAATTACAAGTCTAATTTTTCTTTAAGGTTGTGCAGTTGTGTATAATGTAATTAGACAGGTGCTTATTTTTTCCTTAAAATGTGCTTGAAAAGTGCTTATAGGTGCTTATTTTTTTAACTAAAATGTGGCTACGAACCCTGATAAATCTACAAATTAAAAATACTAACCTCCCTTCGCACATACATAAAAACAGCTTTTGTGGCATTTGAAAATGAAATTAAGCAATGATAATTATTGTTCGCTTAACACCCAAGGGTTCTTTGGCTTAACAGATTTAAAAAAAAAATAAAATAAAATAAAATAAAAAAATTATGATACAATGCGAAATAACAATTATGAGCAATGGACTTAAGAATTTGCATTTTTTAATCTCATGTTAAAAAAAAGAAAAAAAAAGTATTATGTTACAAAATGGCAAAAACAACAAATATGTACTCATTATCAAAACTCAAGCAATGACTTGATCAAATTGCCATTTCTGTCAACTTAAATTTAATAATAAAAATTTATTGAAAATATGGATGGATGCATCAGACCAGGAAGAAATACATTAATGCTGTTGGTTATTCCACACTTCGAATTTTATTCCCATGTGACTTTTTCTTGTGCAGTTTATTTTTGTGCTTCCACTCTTTCTAATCTTCAGGAATTCTGCCACTGAAATGGTAGTTTTGGGCATGCAGGTGAGACATAATGGATCTTCATATAAATATCAGCAAATCTGGTTAAACATTATTTAATTTATTTGTGTTATAAATTTTTAAAATGCAGCATAGAATTATGAATAACCATGTATAAAACCATAAATTACAAAATTTTGTATGTAAAGCATTAAATTAGCATTTTACATTCTTTAAATTTCAAATCAGTTAAGCTTATATATTACACTTTTCTAGTTAACTATATATAGCTGTATGCCATTAAATGTTATGTACAATTTATATATTAAAATGCCATAATCTTGTCAATATTTTAGATAAATGGTGTTCTACGAGAACAAAATGGATCACCTTTGACTGCCACACCTTCATCTCCAAGTATGAAAACTCGTTCACAGAAAGCCAGTTTACTGTTTACTCCGGAATCTGATGTTCTAAAAGAACAAGATATATCTTCTCCAACTGCTATGACTTCATTTTCAAATACAAGAACTCGTTCCAAAAAAGTCAGCTTATTGTATACGCCACAATTCAATTTAAGAAAGTCTGTCCGGAAGAGCGTGAAAGGAGATTTAATTACATTTTCCCCTTGCGATTAGATCTTCATTACCATTGTTATATAAAAATTATATAAATAAGAGCTTGGACATTATATTTACTCTCAAATGTCTATACGTGTATAAACAGAGCCATTGTAGAACTATTTATTTTTTTTAAGTAATTTGAATCTGTCAGTATGCTGAATTTTTGCCCTAAATTTTACTTAAGCAAAATAAATGTTTGAAATATTAACCTAACCTCATATGTGTTGATAATATATACAATATTGTATAATGACGTAGTTTGTTTTAGTATGAAAAGCCTTAAACACGTAGGCTAATAATCACTTTTATGCTTCTATTATGTATTATGTGCTGTACATATATTTCTGGAAAATAAATAAACTACCATGTAATGTATCAGTGAAAGTCAATTTTTTACACTGATTGTTCCTTCAGCTACAAAATGCCAATCCATCTCTTGCAAAATACTCAAAATAATGAGAAATGACCATAGCAGGTCAACCTGCCTGATAAAGCATCTGTACATAAGGGGAACTGATGCTTAAATGATCTCTATTCAGGGAATACAGTGACCACTGTTTAAAAGAATCACTTTTATTTTGTACATTTTGTGCTTATTTATGATTTATCAATAAAGATGGAGAATTTTTTTAAGTTATTCTCCTCTAGTAAAAGGCGTAATTTTATGATTTAAATTAAGTGAATATCACTTATTGAATTTGTAAGCGTATTTTTATATTTAAAATAATATAATTTTTAAATTGAATCTTAATCTCAAAAATTATTTGTATAAATTTAAGTAAAAAAGAAAAAAACTTGAGGTCAGTTTTTAGGCATACAAACATAATAAGTTCCATATATACTGTAGCCTATTAAAGAAACTTTTGAAACAGAAATAAAGATCTTGAAATACTTCTCTCTTAAAAAGGAAATTTCTATTATTAATGTGACAGTGATCAAAATTTAGTTGATATTCGTAATTTTCATACAAACGTTTTCATGGAATAAAAAAAATTATATAACAAGGGTATATTGTTTTTGAAATCTCATGGAGATTTATTTGAATTACCTCAAGTAAAAACAGTTTTTTCCTTCAATTTAATTTGGTACAGTTCAGAATCACATCTTACTTTATATGCTTCGAAGTTCCACATGACTAACCTCTGTAAAATGTTTCAAGTGAGAAATGTACCTCCTGTGACAGACCAGTCCCTTATAGCTGCGCCACTGTGAACATTCCAATGTGATTTCTTCAGTCTTTGTTATTTTTTGATTTCATAATTTTCTGTTATATATTGCTTGTGCTTGTGACTAAAAATTTCATCATTAAATTGATATGTAATCATTTGGAAGTAAAAGTGTTTATTTACATACTATATTCTTAATAAATACTTTTTGTGAACACTACTTCTTTTTCCATATTTTCAGAGTAAGTCAAAAGCTGGTCATTTTAATAGGGAAAGGGAGCAGTTAAGTTGAGTTAAAATCAAAACTGCTTTTATCTTAATTACCAAGTTTGATTCCTATTTGCATATTATTTAGGTTTTACATAACAAGCAAGTAACATAATCAAATATTAAAATCAAAACAAACTTCAGGATTTTTTTAAAATTATACAGTTTTTATATATATAATTCCAATTTTATATTCAAAATGTGCATTAGAGATGTATATTATACAAAATTTGAATTTCATAACTACAGTTAGGTTTGTTGCATTAACATTATTTTATATTAATATTTTTATAATAAAATGAAACTTTTAAAATTTTTCAATAAAGATTTAAAATTCATTTTTATGCAAGGCATGCTATGGCTTATGCATCATTAAGAACACAATAATGGGAAAGAAAACAACTGTATAGTGTTTCTTATTATCTACAAGGGGAGGTTTCGCCTCAGCCAAGGGCTTATTGTTGCCCACTTTTGGTAGTCTTTCATTTATGTTGTGGCAAATGGAATATTGAATCTAGAAGTTCATAAAGTTCTCAGCCCAAAATTTAAATATTTCTTCTTTCCAGTCTGCTAATATTTGAGAGATTTGGTTTGATTAGTCCAATTATGGCAAAGCATGCGAGAGCTATCAGCTGAAGAAGAGGGATGCCTTCATGGAGGACCTTTTTTTTTCCTTGTATGGAGTAAAGGATAAGTGATTAAAAATGTCTGACAAGGCAGGTAAATGAGACAAAATAAATTTTGTTGCATATAAAATGAAGTTAAAATGGAAAAGGGTTACTCTTATGAAACCCCTTTCCCCCCAAAAAAAGTGTTTTTAAACTTCTAATTAATACTCTTCATAACTTTTTTATAATCTCGCATGTTTTGTTAACATACATTAACTCAGGAGATTTTATAACCCGTCAAGAAATTCTGTATGCGATGATTCGAAATAAGTCAGTAAAACAGCATTCAGAAGAAACTGAAGATGTACCTGAAAGAGAATATTGTGCCATTTCACTCTGTCAACAAAATACTAAGCAATAAAACTAAGCACAGAAGGAGGGTTAAAAGAACTCACAGAATAATGATTATTGGAGAAGTTAAACAGCAAGAATCAATGTAATGTTTGTAAATTCTGCAGGACTAGTTTCGATGGTTTGAATATCAACTTCTTCAGCTGAGTGCAAATGAATGAGATGGTAATATAGGATTCATACGGTCCTTAAAAGTCCTTAGAATTTTTTAAAATTGATATTTGGTCTTTAACAGTCTTTAATTTTGCCCAAATGGATGGATAGAAGGTCCTTAATTTTAATCATAAGAAATTTCTGTTTTTACGACTGATATTTTTAGTATGAATTAGCATTTTTGAGGAATATTTTTGGCGATTGACTGACAAATATGGTTACCTTTTAAATGGGTTCATGGGTTGTAATTTGTTCCTATTTCTAATATAAATGGCAGGATAGTTGAGTTTCTGAGCAAGACATGAAACATAAGCATTTTGAAATTATTTCATTTTTTCTAATGAAGAGCTCTTAAAAAATTTTTCGCTTTTGGGGATGTGAATTCTTTTATTAAACGGCTCTAAATTTGGCAATTTTGAGATCAGTTTCTATAGGAAATTTAATTCTGAGATTTGGGAATTTTTTGACGATTTTTTTTAAAACGTAACATCGATAAATTTCATTAAAATAATGGTAACATATTGAAATTATGTTTAAAAAATAACAGTAAAATAAAACATTTTTATTTTTTGCTGTCATGTTATATAGTTCCATTTTGGCCACTTATTATACAATATTTTGAATCTGAAAAATAAATGAGGTATAATGCTATAAAGCCCAATTTATGAAATAGTTCTTATCAAAAGCAAAACAGCTATGTAATTAATTGTATCTTCTTTTTAATTTTTTTAATGGTAAGAGTTTTTCTCATGTTATTGTCTCAGAATATGCATCAGTTTTCTCCATAAAATTAATTTTACACTTTTCCCCTCAGATTTTTTTCCCAAAATATTTCTGGCTATTTGCTGTTATAGAATTTGTAAGAGTAATTTTTCTTTGGGTTTTTAGATACTGCAGCTTAAAAAGTTTAGGAGGATTTAAAGGCAAGATTTATGGACCCGCGATTCTAGAAGCTTCCTGAAAAATGCCTCCATGGTATTCACATGTAATGGATGTATTTTACAGAAAGTTTGCAATGAATTTCTTACTTTTTGGAGAACATTGAAAACACAATATTTGAATGTTTTACTGCTGATGCTAAAATCTTTTTTTTTTTTAACATGTTTATCATCCCCTTATTTTACCTATTTTCTACTAGACACAAGCATGGAGAGTATCAGAAATGCTTCTAATCTTATGACATGGACAGGCATTATAGAAAGGAATTTTTTCATTAATAAAGAAATTGAAAACTGACAATTTGATAGATTCATCTAATATGTCTTATCGCATCATACACAGGGCTCGCGCGAGGCATTTTCCCACCTGTTTCAATCTCTGTGGATCCTAAATTCTGCTTCCAGTGCCTGCTCTAAATTCTAAAAATTTTGTCATTTCTAGATTGTGTTGCTTGGTGTGTCACTAAATTCTAAAAATTCTGCCACACCAGCTCTGTAACGGCTCCTAATCATATATATTTCATATTTCTTCTGAATGTTCATATGACTAATGAAATAAAATTACCAGCTTTTTCTATACATTCTAAATGCATTTAGTTTTTTTAGAATATTGGAAATTTTTAAATTCTAAAATCAAAAGGAAATGTATTGAAGAAAGAGCTGAATGCATAAAGAGAAAGAAAATATTTCTTCAAAGACATGTACAGTTATTATTATGTAAATTATCCAATTGTTTATAATTTCAACCTTTGCTATAATTTCTCATTTCGCTTTCTTGACAAGAATGCAATCACTTAGATAGTTTTTGGAATGTAAGATAGAATGTGTTTCTGACCTTCGCTTGTTCGCTGCATTAGTTCCTGTCAACTCAGATCATGTGTAACTGCTTTGGATTATCACTGCTGACAGTTCAATTTCTTATGATGACAGAGTTACAGAGCTAGCATAAATTAAAATTATATTGTATAGTCTTTGACCAGGAGTCCACGTTTTTAGTTTGAATTTAACTCTTCTTGTTTAATTACATCACCACAAGCTGTAATTTGTTAGCATAAGGATGGATTGGATTATTCAGTTATGGCAAAGCATACAAGGGCTAACTGCCTAAAGGGAGGGATGCCTTCGTGGAGGACTCTAAGGGAAACTGGCTCGTATACACGTTACACATGGGGAAACCCACGAAAACGCCCATGCAGCCAGCCCACTCGCGGCATTCGAACCTTGGACCGAACTACCAGTGTTCAGCATCTTTACCACTCGGCCGCTGTTGGGCTTGTTAGCATAAGAACATGTGTTTACGGTCTTAGTTCTTTTTAAATAAGAGGCTTATTTAAACCTTTGTCTGACTTTGTAGTTACTTTCAGACATAGCTATAATTTGCTTCACGTCTGTGTGGAGATTTTGGACTATTTAACTTTTATCAGAACAAAAAAACCCTAATAGGTACATTGTGAAGAGGTTTACAAGTTAGGAGATAAAGCACGCAAAAACTATTGAGAACATCGGTTTGCGTATTGAGGCAAATTTCTGATTGTTAGAAAAGATGCTTAAAGAGAAAGAAAAGGCCAAATTAGCCAAAATGTCTGGGAAGGCTTCAAATTGAAAGGATGCATGAATATTTTGTTGAGTGTTGTTGCTGCAAAACATAAATGTTTTGTAGGTTTTAATGTGTAATTATCCTAATATTGTTTAAGAATCAATGTCATAAATTACATATATTTTAAATTGTGAAATTGTATTAGATTGTGATTTTAATAGGGCCGTTTTTTAAAAAATATTGTTAAAAATAAATAAAACCTAATACTGGTCATGTAAATCCATAAGGACTAAGGTTATCTAACTGGCTAATTTTATTAAATTATTTATAACTAACTGCTTACCCTTAAAAATTATCTCTGCATATTAAAGGGAGTTATTACGTTTCATTTATCCTTACCGTGGTCACAAGATAAACTCAAAAATGTAAAATTCATGTAAAACTTATTCTTCACATTTAGTGAAACTTGAAATAATACAAAAAAAAAAAAACTTATCACTTCTGGTGCATATTGGAGTGCCTTATTGGAACCTTTAAAGTATATTACCTGGGTTAGAACCCCTGGAACTCTACCAGAAACTACAACACTAATTGCATCAGACAGACGGAACATCAACTAACTTTCAAAACTCGCCAACCTTGCCTAGATCAGAGCCTTCAGGTTTGTTCTGATCAGCAAGTCTCTCTCTAGGCAAGCAGCAGCACTGGTGACAACAAGCTAGTCCTTTTGTTATGAAAATCATGCTGATTATTATTTTATTTCTCATTTTAACCTATGCCGCTTTGACGTAAAATCTACCTGCTATTTACTAAATCCTCTACACTGAGCAAGTATGTGACAAAAGGAGACACAAAAATAATCAACATAAAGCCAACTGTTAGTAAAACGCAAATAAAATGTCCCTTATCTTCTTTCAAATATGTCGGACTATTATAAGTGTAAAATATTTAACGCTACTTGATAAATTTCATAAAGTTTATTTTATTCTCAAGCTTATTAATAATTATATTTAATAGTAATGTATCCATCCTACTTACGGATCTATTTTATTTTTAGGATGATATTACAAAATTGAAGTTCAGGCATAGATAATATCTTTAATTGAATTTATTCAGCTCCCATTTGCTGATAGATCCTTAATTGTTTTCATTAATGGTCCTTAAAAGTACTTAATTTCCGTGTGCAGAAATGCGTACGAACCCTGTAATAAGAATGACTGGAAAGAAGTCAAGCTACTGGTGCCGTCCTGCAAAATACAAGCATTACACTGATTCTTGTTATTTATCATCTTTATAACTCAAGAAACTGGTTTTCAAGTAATGACTTCATAGGTTTGCAGAATATTCTATATGTTGTCCAAATTATCAACGCAAATCACATTAAGCAGGTAAATAAATAAATAGAAACCAAATCTGAAAGAATTCAAATTTTAACGTAACACCGGGGTTTGTTAAGGTTTTTTATGCTGTAGTCGTAGTTTACCTATCTATTCTTGGATTCACTCCTGCAAGCATAATTTTTTGTCTTTTTAATTTTATTATCAAACACGGAACTTACATAAAAGTTAACAGTGAAATTACAAAATTTTTAAAAGCAGTAAATTTTTAGACTTTCCGATCGAGAGTTGCCTTTAATGTTTTTCAGTGTTTAGGACTCCTATTTCGTCTAATCGCTTTGGAGAACATGAGGGTGTCCTGAGTAGAACAGTGAGTTTACTTTAAACTATGTCCTTTGAAATTGTAGAACATATGACAAAGAAGGGAAGGGTTTAATTATCCTTTATTCTTCACAATTTACAGCCGCTCCCTCACTTCGGGATACAGAGACCAGTACTTGTGGTCTGAACATAAAATTAAGAACTACAAACTAACTAAATTTAAATAAGAGCTAAACTCAAATATTTTACAAAGGCAAGTAACACTAAGATTGGCCTTTTATATCTTTACGTTTGTAGTAGCAGAATGCGGGGAAAACTACAATACGTCTTCAATATCAAGAGGACTAAACCAAACCTCTGGCAAGTCTGGCTTAAAGGCAGACAGCAAATGACTGAAAAGCGCGTTTGAAATAAGGTGGTGAGAAGTCTCACTCTCTAACTCTTTCTTGGCCAAAAGCCACAACTTAAATACAACTAACCGCGTTTATTCTGGCCGGAAGTGGAAAAATAAGAGGGGACAGTAAAGTTTTAAAATAAAATAAACGTTAGTAAAACTTAAAATCCTTATACGGTATTTTATTTTGTTCTTTAACTATTCATCATAAATTGAATAATTTATTAATTTTTTTATCTCGTTACATTTTACTGAATTTCAATTTTAATTGTTTTTTATTTTATCTTTTTTATTATTAATTTTATTTGTTTTTGTTATTTATTTCATTTCATTTTCTGACGGTCTTTTGTGAGGCTTTGGCACTTCTGAGTTTAGAAATTAAGCTTTTCAACAATATTTTCTTCACTAACTTTAAACAAACAAACAAAAAAAAAAAAACTCTGGCATTCTGGCAGAGCGATTAGGCACAGCAGCTACAAAACATTCTTTTATTTCTCGACAAATCTCGGCATACATCTACTGAGGTGGAAGGATGTGACTAATGCTTTTTTTCGCTATGAAAATATTACTAGAACCGCATATTTTAACTGACAGTTAGACATTAATATATGGCCCAAATTTCCCTTATATAACTATTCCAATCAGTGGAATGATTCATATCAAGTTGATACCGGCAAAATTCGAGGGAAATTAATTTTAAAACCACACATAAATGAAACGAATTGACATTAAGAAACTGATTCTAGATCCTTCAACCCAATTCTGAGAACGTAATCTTCACCCCCCCCCTCGGCGCGTCATATCTCATTTCATTGCTTCCTTCTGAATTTTCGAACTTTAAATGGAGCTTCATTTTATTGTTTTCTTGTACTTTCTTTTAGAGCGAATAATTTTTCATTCCTGAAAAAATTGTATGGAAGAGGTTTCATCATTGGGTAAATCAAAAATCTCATATCCATGGAAATACAATAATAATACAAGCACAAGTGCTCGCTTCATGCAAGGAGGTTAGAACATTGTTCTAGTATTAGTAGTACTTTAACCTCCTTAATTACGTATTTAGGTACTTTTCTGTTTTGCCGGCGCAGGAAATAAAGTCGTCAATAATCTTACAACCGATGCCAAACGGAATATCCTCACTGGTAACCTTTTACTCCTCATTTTGAAAGCAAGTTGCAGCCATTTCTTATCAGATTGATTGTTTCTTTCAATACTGACATACAATACCAGATAGTTAAATGTTATGCCCTAAAGCCATTTGTGGGCGGTAATTAAGTCAATTACGATGCAATCACATCGCTCAACCGATGGCAAAAGTATAGAAAAGGCAAAGTCAAAGATTAAATTCATCAATTCTAATAAGAATGCAGTAGCGAAGCACTAGAAAGCACTGCGGTTTTACATAATTTCTAAGTAAGCTATTTGTACGAATTGAAATAATTCTTGCATTTAAACTTGTATTAAGATTTAATTTGAAATTAATTTTTGTATTCCAAATTTAAATTAATGTAGAATTCCAGTTAATGACAGAAATGCTCTAATCTGAAAATATTTCTGACATTGTCTCTGTGGACAAAGATAAATTCATTTATCTTTGTCCACACTTTTGATGGAACCAAAGATTATCACGTTGATGAATATGAGAAATGCTGCAGTCTAAAGAAACTTTCTGAAAAGAAGAATTAGCCTTATTTCCAAATTATCTGAAAGGAGAAGCATCGACATTCTATATTCGGAAGTGTGAGGAAATAGATGGGGATCTATTAAAAAATATGAGATTAAAAGACATAATTGGGATCTGTTAAAAAATAAATTTCGAACATTTTTCTAGTTCTGAAGACGATAAGTATTTTAGTAATACATAGATAAGTATTTTAGACAAAAATTAAGGTTAAGGTCTGCTTTGCAATTAATTGACCAAATTCTATCAGAGTTACTCACTCAAGGTTTACCAGAGCAATATCATATGTTATTACTACATATTCATTCAAAATTAGATTACCCTAGCACGAAGTTTATTCCAAACATCAAGCTCATTTGAAGAATAACAAAGGACCAGTAATGTTTTCAGATTTCTTGTTCCTAGGCAAAATCCTCGTCTTGATTTTAATTATCCAAGATATCCCACTCTAGGTCTTACTCTAGGTCTTATTTGTCTCGACATCCAGTTTGGAGAAATGTTCAGCCATCCACCACCTCTATCAAAATCGAACCCTCCTCTCCCCTCCGAAGAAAAAAGACAGATTTCTTTTTAGAACTCAGAGGTGAATTTAAAACAATTTATATTTTAGTGCGATGTGAAGGTTTCTATATGCAAATTGAGCAACGCAGTCTCAACTCGACTCAACTCAGATGGGCGCTAGTTTCGTAAATATTTCTTTACGGCTGGCACTTTATATTTCTAGTGTTTTATACTTTGTGACATTTTTTACTATTTCACGAATTTATTCGCTCGTTATGGATATGTATAAAAAAAAACCTTTGAAGTTTACATGTAACTTTAAAGATTTTAAGTCTACAGAAATTGAAACAAGTAGAAATTTAGCTAGGAGTCATCAAATCCATAAAGTTCGAGAAAGTGCTATGACTACAGAAGATAAAAAATTAACCTGTGAAGGTAAGTTATTAAAGTACAATTTATAGTATATTTTGAATTCTTAGGGAAATTTTTATGTGAAAGTAATTTTAGTAAGGGGGGACAAACATCCAGACTGCTCTATTAATTTTATAGAACTTTTTCCATCATTTTGATTAAGAGGAATTCATTTAATTGCATTTTACTGTATATGTGATATTTTTAATGTTCTAATAAGTTTTAAAAATTTATTAAAAAATTTTTTTACATCGCTTTTAGAAAGGTTGCTCTATGCATAAAGAGTACAGTAAGTTATAATTTTTGTATCGTCTGTTGAATTCTCGGTAAAATTTGTAACTCTTTTAGGTAAAGTATGTGAAAGTAAAATTTTTAGGGGAAAGTGCAGAATCGCCCACTGCTTGGCGCGTTTTTGAGGATTGCACATACTCGGTATCCATGTACATATCGACCTATTTTCACTTATAAAAACATCTCAGAATTGCACAAAATTGGCATTGTGCATTCCCTTGACTTTATCTATGTACACATCGATCTATTTTCACTGAAAAAGTCAAAGAAAATTGAAAAAAATCCAATTCTTCTTACTCTTGTAAAAAGCGCTAAACAAATAAGTGGGCGATTCTGCACTTTTTATACAATTTTTATTAAGCAGACACAAACTTCCAGACTACTCTTTTAGGTAAAGTCCTAGTATATGGTGCAGCCTTGGCGCGAGTTTGAAAATTATCGCCAACACCCAAAAATGACTCAAAGAACGTCTATATATATATACTAAAAAATTTTACATATATACAATTTCCGTGTACTTTAAGTATATATATAGACTCAAAGAACGTCTATATATATATACTTAAAGTACACTATATACTATCACTATATACATAGTATATACTATGTATTTATATTCTTTGAATATACTATATATATTCTTTGAATACCCGTTTCTACTTGTGGTATATGTTCCGTTTTTACTGCTTATCATAAAAGTCGCCAGAAGTAGTCAAATCCCGTGTGCACCGGATACTAGGATTAAACCCTCTTTTAATTTTATAGGACTTTATTCTTTATTTTGATTAAGCAAAATTCGGTTATTTGCGTTTTACAATACATATGATATTTTTTATATACCATCACATTTTAAAAATTACCTTTGATATATCAGTATTATGGTATCTACTTACATAGTTATAAAAACTTCTGTATTTAGTGCTTAAATTTTTAATTTGGTATGTAATAGCCAAGCCTCAGTTTAAAGGAGAATCAAGACTAGAGATGCTGAAGAAATGGAAAGAAGAAAAACTGCTCAAGAAGCAAATGGAATTAAAGTTAAGGAAACCAGTTTTTAAAGTAGGAAAATATGATCCAAATTCTGGAACATCCTTAATGAAAAGCCTAGAAAAATCAGTAAGTTGTGTGCATCATTTTTCTGTTAAACTTGTTTAATAACTTTTTAAAGAAAAATTTAGATAAGACTTTTGTTGCAAAGTATTAAATGTTTTGTTTATCTAGTGTCCTCGGTTTTCTACAGTACAAACATATGTTAGGTAATATACCAAATTCATATTTGCATTTTATATAAGGATATATATTTGTATTCATTCAAGTTTTATAAAATATTTAATCCTCTTAGTGGCCAAATTATATATTATTAACTCATATATATATATATATTAAAAAATAAAGTTGTAATTTTTTAAGTGTTCAGATATACATATTGAAATGTGTCCACACAATTAATGTAGCAAGTTGTTATTTCATGTATTGATAAATTGTTGTTTCATTTATGGTAGCCTGAGTAGTTGAATGTTATGGAAACCCTATTGTGATGTACTTGGGTGCATGATTCTGGGAAATTTTGAATCATGGGATGTTTTGTAAGCACTTTTATGGTGTGTGTTGGTTTTATTGTTTAGATGGTAGAATGGCTGAATGTAGTAAGATTAATTCAGAAGTCAAACAACAAAAATCAGCGTTATATTTTCAAATTTTCACAGGAATAGTTTCGATGGTTTTACCGAACCATCATCGTCAGCTGCAAAAGTGCAAATGAACAAGATAAGATTTGCAGCTGACGATGGTGGTTCGGTAAAATCATCAAAACTAGTCCTGTGAAAATTTGAAAATATAACGCTGATTTTTGTTGTTTGACTTCTGAATTAGTATTTGTTCGGCGTGTTATTGTGTCTTAATTGTAGTAAGATTAATTTGAAGTTTCTGTACGATTTGGAACGAAAGGGGAAAAGACCGTTAATTGACTGGTGTGTAAATGATGGTTTACTTAGTAGCCATTATAAGTGTCCTGTGTGTGGGAAGGATATGCGTCTAGTTAAGCGTAATAACCATTTAGATAGATTTGAATGGGTTCTAGGAAGAAAAGTTTAGATGGGGCAACGCCAATATACGGATTCGAGTTCAGATAATTTTAGGAATTTTTTCGATGCTGTTAAGGAATTTTGTGTGCCACAGACTAAAGACAAAGGAACTTCTAAATAGGGTAAGTGGATATTTGCTTTTTGCAGTGCTTAAATGTATAACATGTTTTTTCTTTTTTATGTTATTTTATTGTTTGGTTTAAAATGTAGTTTATTGAGATTATGTAGTTTTTGTTTTCCTGTATTGTAAAATTGGGTGCTCCTTTGACTTTATAAGTGAAAATATATCGATGTATACATGGACAAAGTGAAGGGAGTGCGCAATGCAAGTTTGTGCAATTCTTGGAATTTTTTTAAAGTAAAAATAGGTCGACGTGTACATGGATAAAGTCGAGGGAGTGTGGAATGCTATTTTTGTGCAATTCGGAGATTTTTTTAAGGTAAAATAGGTTGATGTGTACATGGATAGAGTTTGTGCAATTCTTTGTCTTGCTATTTTGGCTTTGTGTAGCGACAATTTTTGGCGCAAAAATCGCTGTTATGCAAGCCAAAATAATAAGAATTGCACAAACTCGGTATCTATGTACTGCCAAGTTTCGCCCAGGAGTACCCTAAAATATACTTTTACCATTATTTTTATTTTACTGCTTTTTCAAATATAAAAGCACATTTAAAAATAAATGTAAATTTTCTAAAAGTTTATTAAAATAGAGAATATTTTCTTTCAGAATTGATAGACTTATTTTTAAAGATTTACACTATAAAAGGCCTGATAACATGATGAACAGAAAATGTATTGCAGCTTGTCCTAAACTTTTCTGTTGAATTTATGATAACTGTGCATTTTTGCGTCATTAATTAAAAAAAGTTAATGTTTTATGATATCAACTGTATGAAATTTTCATATGCTTAAGATTTCCTATATTTAAGTCCAGGTTTTTACGTTTTATCCAATTACTTTTTTTAATATAAATAATGGTACTTTTCCGTTTCGCCGGCGCAAATCTTGCCAAGCAGACTTTATTGGGAACAACGTACAGTATACACATAAAAAATGTTAACAAATATTAGTTCTATGATTTTTTTATTTTGAAGGCATAAACATTTCAATATTGCTTAAAATTTTGTAAAAAGCCAATAATTAAAGACAATAAATTTGTAAAAAGACATTAATTTAAGAATTTACTATGCTTTCAATGGTTCAACATCTTGATTCACCGGTTCATATGATGGGATCCCAAGTGATCTCATCTCATGTAAACTACGCTACAAAAATCCAATTCTCTCGGTAATTATCTACATTAATTTCAAGTTAAATCTTGATTTGCAATGCAAGTTTAAATGCAAGAATTATTTCAGTTTGTACGAATAGCTTACTCAGAAATTATGTAAAACCTAACCTAAACTATTATGTAAACCTATGTCATCCTAATTGACTTAATTACCGCGATTGGCCCTAGGGTATAAAGTTGAACTATCTGGTAAAATTCTATGTAATTGTATGCCAGTATTGAAAGAAACAGTCAATCTGATAAGAAATGACTGCGACTTGTTTTGAAAATGAGGCGTAAAAGGTTACCAGCGAGGATGTTCCGTTTGGAATCAGTTGTATCATTATTATTGGCGATTTTATCGTCTGCGCTGGTAAAACGGAAAAGTACCTAAATAATTTCAGAATAAAAGAATATAGCACGTCAGTGGTTATGTAGACTTTAAAAAAGAAATCCATTTAATTCTAAATTATTCACTGCTAGCAACAAAATTAAAATGGATTATTTCAATTGCTCTTGAAAGGGCTTAAAAGATGAATAACATCTAGCACACTGAATATATTTATTAAGCTTTTTTCCTAAAATGTGAATTTAGATTTATGAAAAATTCCCACCTCTCTTTCAAGTCCATTGGAAAATCTACAGATATATTAAGATGGAAAGTTGAAAGGTGAAATTTTTCATGGCAATATATAATAAAATCCTAAATTTATTTTTATCTGCAGTTGGGGGAATGTATGAAGGAAGTAATTCTTTCCTTTTTTCAACCAGTTTTCTGTTATCCAAACATATAGGCAATAACAAATCTTTTCATGCAGTAATCATGGTTTTCTTATCTTTCTGCCAGTATTTTTTTTAATGATCCAATTTTTTCATTGTTTTTCAGGAAATCGATTGAAATAGCTTTAAGTATACTATCTGGTAACTTTAATATGAAGTATAGATTTTTCAATAGAAAACAAATCCGAAATGGGCTTACAAATTTTTTTAACATTCAGAAAAACTGATGTTCGCATTTAATTATTTGTAATTTATATTTTATAAAAAATAATCATTTAAAGAAACAGTAAATTTGCAAGGAAACAATGAAAGGAAAGCAAGTAAAATATTTACAATTGATCTAGCGACTTCAGCAGGACTTATTTAAGATTTAACATAATTTAAAAATTAACATTGCAATTTTGATTTGATTATGCCATTTAATACATTATCAGTGCTTTTAGTTCTTCAGAATAGACAGTTAGAATTCTAAAATATATAGAGAGACTCAGTTTGAAACACTTTACATTTTGAGGAATTAATTTTTAGAGAAAGTTTGTTTTACATTTAGTTGCCAAAAAGAAAAAAAAAAAAAAAAAAAAAAAAAAAAAAAGATTCACTTTTCATATTCTCATTTTTACTATAGGAAATAGCAGTATATTTTCAAATGGATTTAAAATGAGCTTTTGTGATTTTTTTCTTTAAATTCTTGTATCTGATGTTTAGTTTAAGGAATGTAATACTGAGAGAAATTTCAAACTTTGATGCTTTCATATTATTTAAATTTTAAGTAATTATTATCTAACCATCAAATATTTTTAGCTTTGACACAATATTTTGTTATCATAATAAATCTTTAAAACATCATTCAATTTATTCATATATCCAATTATTATTCACCCACCAATCACGGATCTGTAGTTGGAAGCATGCTTAGGAATGTTTCCAACTTAAAGAAGAAAAGGAATGTATCTTGAAAGAATATTTTCCCTTTTCATGTTGACACTTACATTTTTTCACTATTATTTACTGAAAACATTCTGGACTGTTGATGTGCCTTTTGATGATTGCAGTGAGAATACTTCTTAACATTAAAGATAGAGAAGATTTATTTTTTTGAAGACTGGATATTTTCGTTTCATGTTGAGAAGAGCATATTTTAATCCAAATTTAAAATATAGAATAAGGAGATTAGCATACAGCCAAAAAAATAACATAGAAATTTCTTTTCAAACAATTCCTTTTATACCCTAAAAAAAAATCTGGAAGATTTCTTTGAAAAATGAGAGTCTTGAAAACCTAAACATCGCTAAAATATAGGGACTGGTTTGTGTTGAGCTGCCATTTACTATAAATAAAGAAGGTTCAGAGTAAAGGGTTAAAAATGATCTTTAATAATGAATTTGTAGCTGAGTGACATGGAATTATTTAATGTTTATTACTCCAAATAACTGGTTGCCTGAAAAGGTAGATTTCTTCTGATGAGCAATACAAGCTATCTTTTGTAAAGACTGTGGCATTCAGGTTTCTGGGATTGGTAAAGATGTGCCATTTGTCATATTATTTTGTGTTGAGGTAATTTTGTACCTTGTGTAGACATATTTACTATTAACTGCTCGACCAAGGATAAATGCCTAGCTAAAGATAAGTCATCTGCAAATAATACTTTGCATTTTTGGATTTTTTCTAATATGAATAATACAGAGGGATTTTAAATTAGTATTTGGCAAAAATGTGAAGGCAGGTATAGAGGACTGAAATAAGCAAATTTTGTAATGGAAAATATGCGTGGAAATGTTGCATGTAAGACATGAACAACAGCTAGGCAAGATAAGTAAAGTCCAAAGAAACATGTTAATGATTTATCTTTTTAAAAAAGTGCTCAAAAGGATAACAAATAACAGTAATACAAAATTCATTGATTTGACACATGGACTGGCATACATTTTATATTATCAGATCTAGATATTTTTAATACCATTATAGTATTTTTGTTTTCGCTTGGTGTTGATAACCATATGCCAACACAACTTCTTCTGGGCTGATATATATTTACTGCTCAATGTCACATGAAAATTGCAAGAAAGAGGTATTAATCTCATTGCAGCTAAAATGATTATCTTTGGTTTTCATCTTTAAGTTGACTTGTTTGCATCAACACTGTTACACTCTGATATAGCTCCATTAATGGCTTAACCTGATGTCGCAACACTTTTATAAGATCTTCATTTTCACCTAAGTTTTTATATGATTCCTATCAGTTTCTTTATATGCTATATTTGTAATGAATACTTGTTGATTATGTAACAAAATATAAAACTGCTATTTCTAGACTTTTTTTCAGAATGACTTGTACAAATGTGATCTCGTATTTAAGCTTTTTATATGCTATATTTGTAAATTGTACCTGTTGATTATCAAACAAAATAAAAAGCAATTTATACCTTCAAACATCCACTGGCATCCATCTACTCATCAAATGACTGACTGTGCAAGTGTTCATAGTTGGTGGGAAAATGCTTACTACCACATTTTTTATTTTGCATCAGGAAAATGCTAAGTATAATTAAGAGTTTAAAAAAAGTTAAATTTAATATGAAAACCATCACCTTAAAGATTATTTTAATAATAATGAAGATATTCAGAAAACTAACAAAATTTTAGCTTTTAAATGAAAATCTTCACCTTAGAGGTTATTTTAATAGCAATGAAGAGACAAGAAATTAACCAGATTCTGAATGTATTAAAAAAGATGAATTCTTTGAAAGAATCGATCAACTAAGTGAATGTGCCAAATATTGTTTAGATGTATAAAGACTGCATATTAAAGTCTAAGAATAAGGGTGTTTTCTTTAATTTTTGATTTTGAACAAGTTTAGTCGTAAAGTTTTAAAGATGTGCTATGTATAAATACCTTAGTAGCTAAATTTATCAACATTAATTTAATTTTTCTTTTTTGCTATATTTATATAGCCTGGGTATTTAAAATTTTTATATAGCCTTTGTCTGTGTATCAGTGCAAACAAATACCTTAGTAGCTAAATTTATCAACATTAATTTAATTTTTCATTTTTGCTATATTTTATATAGCCTAGGTATATAAAATTGTTATATAGCCTTTGTCTATGTATCAGTGCAAAAAGTCATATTAAATTACTCTTGTTGATTAGTCATCTAGGATAATTATATATATTATAGAGCTGAATACTTGCAGCTTCTATTGTTTAACAAATTTGGTTACCTTTTGCAGAATTCAAATGATATGACACTGAGACAAAAACCTGTCATCGCTGCACCCAAAGTAACAAGCGAGGTGAGCTGTAGATCATTTACAAATATTGTTTTTAAGTATATTTTTTTATTGTGAAACATGTAACCTCTGCCAAAATTATATATTTATACAAATAATACTTGTCAGCATTTTTAAAACTGTTTCAAGAAAAATGTACTTGTAAGTTTGATGCACATTAGATTTTGAGAAAAATTCAGTTATGACTTCTGCATTAATTTTTTGAAGTGCAGAAGAACATATTTCCTTTTTCTACATGACACAAAATATTTAAAAGAAAATTTCAGTAATACTTCTGCATAAATTTTTCCAAGTGCATCTAGAAGAACATATTTTCTTTTCCTACGTGTTAAAAAGGATTTGGGAAATATGTGCAAGAAAGAGTATTACAAAATGTAGATTTGCAGTTTTAGAGCCAAAGGTATAATTTTTATAACTTAAGGCAAGATGCATGCAAATTCAGCTTTAAACTTTTCTAAAATCAGATCTGTATTTTAGTTATAATTTCATTTTACTGTATTTAATAATCACTCAGCGCTATCAAAACATCTAACCTTATATTCTCATAACATCTGAAGAATCATCCATAACATTTTGAAATATATAGGTTTTTTGCTGTCTTTCTGAAAACATATTTATTTGTATTGTTAATTTTGAAAAAATATTTTAGCTGAGTGTCGGGATGGATATTTATAAGTGTTTGGGCAGTTGAAGTCGTTTGGTGGGGATACCTAGAGTAAGAGAATCATAGCAGCCAGCTTGTTCTGTGCTTTATTTAGTAGCCCTTATGATGAGTGAGAGGACTGTGCCCGTCTTTATGTTCTGCATAATTAGAAAGTTCCTTGTATATAAAAATATGAAACCGGTCAAAATTTACCGCAGACTGCAGGCCCAGTTTGGGGAAGCTCCCCTTTCATGGTCAAGAATGAAGGTTTGGTGCAACGAATTCAAGCTCGGCTTGAATGTGTTGCGAATGCGGTCATCTCTGTTGCCCTCATACCAGTATGTCTAATGAAAACATTGCATATATTTCAGAGCTTATTGAAAGAGATCCATGCTGTTTAGTGCTTCAGATTACAGAACTTGATGTATGCTATGGAAATGTCTAATTAGAAAACAGTTGGACTTCCAAAAAATCTAGTTGTTGAATGAAAAGTTGCACGAGTTTGCATTTCTCAATTGCTTCAAATTCATTTTGAAGAAGCAGAGGAAGCTTTTTTGCAAAAAATTGTCACCTGTGTTGAGACATGGGTGCATCTTTACACTCCCAAAGAAAGCGTTCATGCACAAAATGGAGAAGGAAACCTCAAGAAAGCTCAAACCTGATTGTTTGTGGGGAAAACTTTTGGCTATGGTTTCTGGGACTGGAGAGGGGGGGAGGTCCTACTAGTGGATTTCTTACATGGACATCAGGGCATCAATATAAGTCTAGGCTTCAGTATCCATATCAGTAAGATGAAATTGCCCCATCTATGAAGAGTTGATCCTCCATGACAATACCAGACCCCACACAGCAGGAATATTGCAGCAGAAACTGTTGGAAAATGCTTGATCATCCACCTTATAATCCAAATTTATCGGCATGTAATTTTTAGATATTTGGACCCCTCAAAGAAGTACTAGGAGGCAAGTGATTTGAGACCAATGATCAAGTAGAAATATTTGTGCCCAACTGGTTAGATACCCGTTAAACCTTCATTCTACGAGAACAAAATGAAAACATTGCCGAAACATCGGAAGTATTGTAAAAGGATGAGATTATTTAGAAACATAATTAGTAAAAATGTAGATGTTTTCTATAAAATAAATTTTGTGTAAACAAAAGGCTCATTTATATTTGATTTCTATTTATATTTGATTTTTTAAAATTTTAGTCTATGGAAAAAATTGGAAATCAAGTTATTTTAGAATTAATTTAAATGTTAAAAATGCACCAAAAGTATAAATTGAAATGTTTTGAGATATTTTTGAACTCCTCTAATATTATTTATTTAAACTATTTGGTAACATATTATTTGACGTAACTTAAATCTTTAATTATATAGTCATATCTTCCTATAGTTGATGATAAGTATTGCAAAAATAATAATATATTTAGATAAACACAGGTGACTGCTAAAACTTATTTTTTTATTATCAGAACAAAATTTTTCTTTTAATACCAGTCTACCAAAAAAACTGGTTTTAGGTTATTTTGTACTTAGAACAGTGTTATAGCTTGTATAGGACATATTTGTTAAATATTTCAACAAATATATAATGTTTAAAATCTTTATGTATTTGTTATGTACAATAAGCCTAGAATTGCATAATATATGACTTGCATAGTTTTATGATTACATAAGTGATTAAAAGACGTAAAATTTAAACTGAAACTTATCCATTAGAAATACAGATTCTAAAACAATTCCTCCTTTCACAAGCCATACTTCTTGCATTAAAACAATATTCATGTGCTTATTTATAAAATAATACTATATAAATAATATTCATCTAATGTTGAAATTTCTCTTATACAATTTACATATTGAATTAACTTATGCAACTTACATATTGAATTTGTAAAAAATTAAGCTATGAGAAGGTTTATGGAACATATTACTTATATGTAATGTTAATTTGAGGAGTTGCTGTATATTTGGAAACTGGTTGGAATTTATGTTTGAATTACTTCTGTCCTGATAAGTATCTTTCTTTTTTAGATTCTTGCAGTTAAAATTACTAAATCAACAGTATCAAAAATTCCTGGCTCTAAATCAGTACAGCAGGTATATTTTAATTTTTTATCCAGCTTAGTATATTTATGTTTAGTTTCATTTTAATTTGTATTATATCTGTGACACAATAACTGGCTTTCATTTTATTAGACTTCCCATTGTAAATCAGAATCTGCATATTTTAAAATTGTTTGAAATTTGTATTCGACTTGCTCCTTTCTTGATGGCATTCGTCTTTCTTTCTTAGATTCCTCCAGTTAAACTAACTAAATCAGCAGTATCAAAAATTCCTGGCCCTAAATCAGTGCAACAGGTATATTTAATTTTTTATCCAGATTAATATGTTTTATATAGTATAAATTAATTTTAATATTTATTTTGACATATTAACTGGCTTTATTTTATTAGACTTCCGAATGTAAATCGGAATTTGTGAAATCGAGCAAACCAAAAGAGGTAAACTATTTTTTATAATCTGGGGGAAAGGGACATATTGCAATTAAGTTTTAAAATTTAAATGTCACCATGTTTATTTGTAGATCATGTAAATTTTATTTTAAAATTTAATTGTTTAACAAACTTTGATATTTAACAGATTTCTACTTCAGCTATGAATACTATGCAAACAGTATATGGAGCTAATGCTAAGCTGTAGATAGTACTAACAAAATATAATATGATCTTAATGCTGATTTTCTAAAATTTAGGCATGAATTAAGTTTTCAACTTTCGAACAATCCAAAGATAATATATATTAGATATGTTTTACATATATTAGTTTCTAGTACAAAACCATGCAGACAGTTATATGGACAGCATTTTTTGTTTGATCTGCATAGAGTTATTTTTGTGTTTACTTGTGATAAAGAAACAAAAATTAAGTTTTTAAAAAATGTATATAGAAAATACCACTCTTGATATCTATATTTTTTTAACTCGCCAAATAAATAGTCTTATGAAATATAAAATAATTATGATGTAAATTTTATATATGAGTCACTCAGAAGCCAATGTGGTAAGAAAACAGAAATTGAGAAAATTATTAATGTTTTTTGATACATTAATTTTTAAAATTCGCGGTTTATTAATTTGATCAGAAAAGTATATAAAGTCTTTTTCTAAGTGTAAACTCTGCACCCCCCAAAAAAAGATATGTACAGGATGTGTAAATAAAAACGTAAGTATTTATTGGAACAATGACAGCATCTTAAAAATTTTAGGACTTGTATCTTATGGCAGCTGAAAAAGGTAAGAAATTTATGTAAAAATAATACAATAACATTTGTTGTCATAAGTTTTATGTTTATTCATCATAACAAACATCATCTTCTCTAAAATAATTTTCACAAACACTTCAATGTAATATTTTTATGTTTTAACCAAAGTTTAGATATTTCAAATTAAAGAAAGCACATACATAAAACTTGAACAATTCTAAATAGTAGAAGTAACAGTTACTATGAATTTGTTGTTTTTCAGTGTTGCCAACAAATATCGAAAGAAGAATAATTTAATTTTTATTTAAAAGTTTATGTAAAAAAATATTGATAAAAAGGTGGACTTACTGACAACGGATTCTGAAATTATTATATAATATATTCAGAAGCTATAAAAAAGGGCTATCTGACCTAGAAAAAAGGAAGCAATGAGTAAATCCTTTAATAACTAAGAAGAATATTATTTATTTCATGAAAATTTTAAAAAAATCAAAGTATCAAAAATTGGACTTAATTGCATTATCTTCTGAACGACTCATATATATATGTTTTTTATAATATATATATTATGATACAATATTAAAAAATAACAGATTCTTACAAAAATTCATATTTTTTGCTATTTGATGCTTTTAATGACTTCACTATCTCACAGAACTCAAATATTTCCTACCATTTTTCTCTTCCAAAGATAAATTTTTTTGTGGCTGAAACAGGGCCTCAGAATATTTTTTTTCCTTTCAGTGGCTGCTAAGTCCTACTTAGAATTCTATTCAAATAAACTTGAACTGCATATTTGTCACACTCATGGACGCTGAATAATGACAATCTACCAAAGACTATGAAATACAAATACTGGTGTATATCTTAGAGTGGTTAACTTTTCTTCCTTGTGCGAAGTAAAAAGGAAGTATTGTAATCGGGAAAATTTTCAGGCATCATATTTCAATGAAAATATCTATTTTGACCATTATCGAATGCAATTTAACGATGTTTTTGCATGACGTTTGTCTGTGAGGGCAGAATAAAAGTCTCTTTTTCCCCGAAAAAATTATAAAACTGATTTAAAATGAATTCTAAAAAGAATTTTTCGTGGCATCTGTACGTATTTACGTATCTCACATAACTAAAAACTGACTAGCCTCAGAATGTTGAAATTTTGTATATATAACTGCTATAAAGATGTGCACCTCGTATTTTGGTTACAATCGGCCACACCAAACATATATAAATATATGTATATAATTGTTTTAAAAGAATATAGTAAAGTTAAATTAAATTTAAGTAATTCTCTTGCGCCATTGCTGAAAGGAATGAAATTTGAATAATTCTCTTGCACGATTGCTGCAAGGAATGAAATTTGAATTTAACAAATATTCTCTATTCGTAAAAAGCAAATTTAAATTTTAAATGAAATTGAATTACAAATAAATGATTAATTATTCTTGCGAACTAATCTTCAATATCATTTAAATTCATATGTAAATCAAGAGTAAATATCAAAATCTATGAATAAATATATAATTCCAATAAATTTTTTAATCCTAAAAATTTATAAAAATCCATAAGTGGCTAATTGTTGAGCAGGCAGGAAACAGACTTATCAAGGGGAAGTTGCCTCCAAACCTAACTCTTCAATTATTCAATTTGTGTTTCGTCATCCATGTAGGCAAGCGTAAAAGGAAAAATTCAAAACCAAATGTTGTGAATTACTAAAAAGAAATTTAAACAAGTGGAATTTAGAGAAATTAGCAAGTAAAGACTAGAATTAAAAATAAAGTCAATTAAGAGTAGAAAAACCAAATTTTTTAGAAAACCAAAGTAATTTAAATCTTGCCTACAAAAAACTTCCCCCGACACGAATTATGCAAATAAATCAAAAGGAAACTAGATACTATTTTTAAAAAATACATAAATAATAATAAAATAGCAAGTAAATAGTTAAGTTTTAATTTAACTTACCAACTATATTTGTATTTGGAGAGTGGAGCAGCATGCCAAACTAAGTGATGTTAAGTAGTGTGTTTCTTCTAACTTTATAAATAGAGGGCGCTAATACAGTCAAAAGTCGTTAATTCAGACACCCATAATCTGGAATGATCTATAATCTGGACCTTAAAACTACAAACTTTCTGCACAACTGTCGCGTTGACGCATGCGCGTAAGACCTTTACGGTTGCACATATGCGTGTGCGCATGCACGTTTAATGTATAACGGACAGTATAAGCTAAAATTATCTAATTATGTGTTTCAGTTAATGTTGCAGATTGCGTTGTTCGTTAATCTTCGAATTGGATCCGGCTTATTATTTTTTTCAGACTGTTAGAGCAATTTTATAAAAGTAAGCTTGAACTTTCGATTATGTCAAATAGAATTTCGGATGCTGGAGCTCCCAAAGGATCTACAAAGCGAAAGTATGTTTCGATGTCCATCAAACAAAAAGTGGAATTGCTGCAAAAAATGGATAAAGGCATATCCTTTTTTTCTCTAACCATTCCGAAATCTGTTTATCAATTCCACGCTGCTGTGCGGTGGGTTGGGAGGGGGAAACGCTGCGGCGTGCAGTGAGTTGGAAGTTGATCTGTCAGCACTATCCTTATCTTCAGAGCAGATGTTTTTATTTTAGTTGGCTTATAATTCCTTACTAAATGTAGTATTTCATCTCGATGTACAACGTCTTTGATATGATTTAAATCAAATTCCTCGTCATTATAATTCCCTTCCGATAGTGAAGAAAGTGACACAGAGGTTGTTGAAAACGAAAAAATTTCGATTGACAAATTAGTTGGTATTCTCGACACAGCAATTATAGGACTTGAACAGCGGAACTTGGTAACTGAACAAGAAATTATGTCTGTTTATAGAATTAAAGAGAAAGTATTATCACATAAAACGAAGCAACTTAAACAACTTACATTGAAAGAAATGTTTAATAAAGTAAAAAAATAAATATTAAGCTTTTTTTTGTAAATTTTGATGCCCTTTAGATCATAATTGTTCTTTATTTCATAAATTACGGTTTCATATTTTTAATTTTATAATTTCTGTATGCCATCTTACCAGATTTAAACTGATGAAAAATCGATAATCCGGAATTGCCGAAGTCCCGACGAGTCCGGATTAACGACTTTTGACTGTATAAGTTGAGTGTTAAGCTGCTATCTGTTAGATCTATCTTAAAAACCTATTCTGTAAAATATGTGTACTGTTGCAAAAAGTTTTTTTGCTAACTGTGAAGTATTTTAAAAATGTGTAAAAAATTGTAAAAATGCTAACTGTAACGTAATGTGAAAAAAAGGTTGCAAATTATTAATGATTGTAAAAAATCGAAAATGTCTTTGAAAAAAAAGGACAAACATTTTTTTTGAAGTAAAATTAATTTTAATTTAAAAAAAAATGTTTTTAATTAAAGTAAGAAATTTATTGTAATAGTCTTAATTAATTGAAACTGAAATTCAACAGGTTTAATCAAAACTTATTAAATACTCACCAAAAAGTAAGGAAAATTGGAAAAAGATAAAATCTTCACTCAATTCGGCCTATAATAGAGACTTTTGAAAAGAGTTCGCCCTTCATTGGTAAAAAGAAAGAACCCAGTATTGATTATATACAATTTTACAAATATTTACAATAAATATTTATGAGATAATCCCTTAACTCTTCAGAATCTTCTTAGTTTTTGGTTGTATTTGAAGCATACAGACATTTTGCTGTAGAAGTAATTGCTGGAAATTTTTGTTGAGCTTGTTGAAAAAATTTACGAAGGTGAAGATCATCAAAATTTCTATGAAGAAAGTTAATAGTATAGAAAATTTGAGAAATGCACATAAGAAGCACGGTTGAATTTGATGCTAATTTGCTAAATTTGTTAGACATTGAAATTGGTTGTAAAAGTCTGTTAATATGAAAAATTTAGGTTTTTAAAAAAATTATTGTGATGAGGTAATTTATTTCAAGAATTACTTGTAATATTGGAAGTTTAAGAACTCGTTCTTTCGTAAATTCGTTCTTTCAGCTGAAAGGAAATTCTGCTTCAAGTATTACATGCAGCAGTTTATCAAAGAAACAGCAAACCAGTAGTTTACAGGATCAGTCTGGTAAACATTTAGTTTCCTAATCATTTTGACTGTTGAAATATGTCTTTCATAATGTCAATCTAAACATGTGAATTTTCATATTCGTTTAAACAAATGTTGTATGCTTTTGTAAATATATAGAGAAATGTAATTGATTTATATTGTTGTATATGAAATTCATGTAACATGGGAGGGGGGAAAAACTAAAAACTGAGCATAATTTTGAGTTATAAATGCAGCTATTCACATATTCTTCAATTATGAAATTTTAATCTTTTCACATAAAACTCCAAGTGCCATGGTAAAGTTATGTCATGTTTAACCACTATGTTATGTTTCTATGTATTTTATTGTGATTTTTGTTGGTTTTAATCAAAGCGTGCTGAAATCGATTATCTACAGAATGTGATTATATACATTCAGATAGGATTTCAAAAATTTAAAAGAAATTTTATTTATTCAATTGCTTGTGTAGTAAACCTTTATATATTTTTCATCAACCATTGGGTATTTTGCTACCCAAATATTTTTCTCTGTATGAAAATGACATATTGCTTAAGCATATATCTGGCAAATGAACTAATTTGAAAATAAAAATTAATTTATGAAAATGCATAATCTTTTATTAGTATTAAGATATGTTTTTATGTATCCTCTGAGCAAGGATTATATGCAATACAAATACTTATTATGTATTTTTAACATACCTTGTGAAGTGAGAGTGCAGAACCCAGAGGCGGTGCACAAGGAGGAAGGGGCACCTGGATCAGGCTTTGCTTGAGGCAGCCTTACGCAGTTAATCAGCCCAACCCCTAGAGATGATCCAAGGAGGACCAGGCGGACAATGTGATTACAACAATTATTACAACATTATGATTACAACAACTTACAATTACCCAGACTTTGTGAAAGTCTGGTTAATTCTGCAAAAGTCAATGGTGTATGGTTATGCATCTACCTAAACATCAAAGAATGCTTGTTTGACATCGACTGTCCCCCAGTGTTGACCAAGGGGAGCAAAACCCCCAAGAACAACTTTCGATATCAAACCATATAGCATCCTAACAACCAAGCAAGACAGTACCATAGGTCCCTGCTGAGCCTGAACCTGCCACTGAATAAACGATAGATTTAGTCTCTGTGAAGACTGTTAATTTTTCTCCAGAAGTAGTCTGTCTAGAAATTGACAGCCAGCATGCCGGGATTGCTCCTAGTCGGGGGAAAGAACGCAGAGATAGATGCCCTTCAAGGAAAAGAACCTTTTTTTCATTCAATGAAAATGAAATTGAGCATTGGTATCTGGTTATTGATGCAAAGACCAAGTTTTAGTCATTGGCATTAAAATTAGACTCTCATCTTCATATCCGAAATACTGAGATATAACAAAAGTAGAATTTTTGAATTAATTTTTTTTCAATTACTTAAAATGTTTTCTTATTGCTTAGAATAACCCTCTTTTGATTAGGCGTATGGCTGTCTTCCAAATGTTAGCTGATTTGTTTTGCTTTAATTGCCATTTCTTCATACTAAAATCTCATTTTGGTGCTTTTTCGGCAATGGACGTTTGAAGATGCTGTTCATTTTTATCTATATTCCAGCATCTCCTTACGATGTTTAATGTGTAAGCCATGTATATCGAAACTCTATCTTTAGGTCTTTGAGGAAATAAAATACTGAAAACTAATGGGCAAGAAATAATTGTTGAAACTAAATAACGTTTGCATAATCTGAGTTCAGAAAACAAAACATTTATTTTACATATTTTAAAGAAATAACGTTCTGAAACAACATGTTTCATCTACACAATCAATCGACGCTCTCACCAGAGCATTACGCCATCAAACTTGGCACACATCCAAAAGTTCAAATTGAAGAATTACAGAAGCGTTGTTGCCACACAAGAAAAGACATATAGTTACAACTTCACACAATAATAAAAACAAAAACCACTTTTGAAAAATAGACAATAATAATAAAAAATAGTAATAATAAAATTCTTAACAATATTTTCTCGATTATGCAACATCCTCCCCCCTTTTTGAGTCAGTGGCAAACGACTCAAAAACATATGTTATCCTATTAAAAAGGTCTAGTACATTAGGCTTCTTAACAAGCCGTCCTGACGACGTAAATTTCTGTTTTATATGCTGTACGTCAGTCTGATCGTTTTTCTTATCGTCGTTAACGTTAGGCTCTTCAACTAAATAATTTTCATCTATTTGTATCTCTAGTGGATAAATACGCTGAACTGAACGGGCCTTATGAAAATCCCATCTCTGATCTGAGTTTTTAGTTTAACTGCTTCGAACTTTTGCCATCCCGACCAGGAATTTTCTCTATAATTTTACCCAAAGGCCAATACAAGCGTTTTTTGAAATCATCGCCCTATTAAGACTATCTCCCCTCCCCAATTTTAGGCAACCGGGTTACTTTATTTTGTGGTTGTTTCATTATTAATTGCCCCAAATATTCTTTTCGGAAACGGTTCCTTAAATCTTAAGAAGTTTTGCATGCGGTATTTAATTTAATTCTTCTCAAAAAATGCTGAGAGTCAATTTTATCTATATCTGCTACATTCGAAGTACAATTTTCAATTAAAAACATTGACGGAGTTAAAGGGATAGCATCTTCATTCAGAGTTCTCCGAAATATATGTTAAAGGTCGAGAATTAATTACCGACTCACAATCGCAAATTAAGGTTTCCAGTTCTTCATAAGATAAAACCGATTTTCCCAAAGAACGTCTTAAAAGTTCTTTAACCATGCGAACTAGCCGTTCCCACCAACCTCCCCACCAGGAGGCTGTTGGTGGATTGAACTTCCATACTATTCTCTTTATTTTTGCCTCATTCTCTATTATGTCCCAGTTAAGTTTAGACATTTCGTTATACGTTCCTCGGAAGTTAGTCCCATTGTCAGAATAAATGTTTCGTGGTCTGCCACGTCTGGCTATGAATCGTCTTAAAGCCAAAAGAAAAGACCAAAAGAAAAAGATTCTGTTGATAACGAAGTCACCAGTTCTAGATGGATTGCCCCCTGTACACAGCGCATGTGAAGAGTGCCATCCAAACCTTCTTACTTACCGTCTTTCAAAAACAATGGGCCAGCTAAATCTACTCCCAAAATTTCAAAAGCCCTATAATCTCCTACGCGATCTTCAGGAAGAGGAGTCACTTCGCAAGACATCGGTTTCGCTTTATATCGTTGACATATTACACACCCCTTTTAACACATTACGCACAGTTTTACGTTGTTTTAGTATCCAGAATCTTTCTCTTAAAATAGATTGAAGCATTTGAGTTCCAGCATGACAATGTTTCTTATGAACTGACTCAATTAACAATGTAGTAAAGATACATTTACTCGGTAACAAAATTGGTGTTAAAAATTCAGAATTGTCTTTGCGTTCCAATATTCTAGTTTTAACTCTTATAATTTTTCATTATCAATGAATACATCAAGTGGATTAAGAGCTCCAATGTCAGGGAAATTTGAGCTTTGAACCAACCGAATCAAAACTTTTCGGAATTTATGATTTCAGCAACAGTTAGTTTAGATTCTTTACACAAATTTGACTTCTTCCTACAGTTAGAAATAAAACGTAACACCCAACCGGTTACACGAATCATTTTCTCATAATCAGAAACTCTTTTCTGCATACCAAGGAGTGGTATCCTCTGAAAAGTTAACATTAATAAGTTTTACCTTCCTCTTTTCCAAGTCAGCTTCGCTCGGCTGACAAACAATATTGGTAGGCCAAAATTCAGGGCTTTCTCTTAGCCAGAGAGGTCCCTTAAACCACTCCGAGTTAATCATTTGTTTAGCAGAGCAACCTCGAGATAACACATCTGCTGGGTTCATATTACCAGGCACATGCCTCCATGATTCAGGTTTTGTCAACTTAGTAATTTCTTTAACACGATTGCTTACAAAGTTCGACCAATTACCAGGATTTCTGATCCACCATAATGCGACTGTGGAATCACACCATAAAGTTACATTTATATCAAAATCATTAAGAGCTTTACAAACAGAATATAATAATCGGGATCCAATGCAACAGGACATTAATTCCAATCTAGGAATCGTCAAATTCTTAATAGGAGCTACTCTAGATTTTGCTCTTAAGAGAGTAAAGTTTTTACACTGCATGAATCAACACTTCTCGCGAAAATACATCCTGCATAAGCATATTTGCAGGCATCGACAAATACATGCAATTCAACTGTTGCAAAGGTTCCAATGAATCGGGGTATTGCCACATTTTTCAACAAAAGTATATCAGATAACCACACAAAAAATTTACTTACAAAATCATGAGGCAATACCTCGTCCCAAGAAAATTTCAACTTCCATGTTTCTTGTAACAAAAGTTTTGGAAGCAAAGTTATTGGTGCAAGTATTCCAATTGGATCAAAAATTGATTGTACAATAGACAGAATCAGTCTCTTAGTTACCTTAGTATCACAAGTTATCATATTTACATTTATATTACACCTTAAAGTATCATTGTCTAAATTCCACAATATTCCTAAAAGAGGTGTGTCCCCAGAATGTTTTGTAGTATATTTGGAAGCAACATTGCTCTCCCATCCCCTTAAATTAAATCTGCCTCTCGACATAAGACTTTTGGCCTTTTGAATTAAATCCTCTTGTTCCTCAATATTGTAAACACCCGTAATACAATTATCTACATAGAACGAATTTTTTAATTTGTCAGCCACATCTAAAAAGTCAGATGGACAATTATTCAAGAGATATTTAATAGACGCACCTAGTAGATAAGGGCTGCAGGAAACCCCAAAAACTACTCTGCAGTGCCTATACACTATTTCTCCCTCATCACTTGGATAGAAAAATCGCAAGTAATCTCTATCCTTCGGAGAAATTCCTAACTGCAAGAATGCTTTCTCTATGTCTGCACTCAGACCAATAGGAAAAAATCTCATTCTGTCTAAAATATCAGGGACTAATTCTATTAAATTAGGTCCTTTCAATAAACACTGATTCAAAGATGGTTT